GAGAATTATTGAAAAAGTGATTAATACTACTGCATTATAAATTACATAAATAATCTACTCTTTTTAAGAATAACCTTTGATTACTTATCATAAATATTCTTTATCATTTACTTTCTAATGATTCATCTCAACTAAAAATTCTCTAATAGTATTTAAAAATAAGATATTTATCTATGAACACTGCTTATAAGAGGATTTTCATTAGATATTTTAATTATTTATAAGCATGAAAACTTAATCAATATATATGAAGTGCTTAATCTGAATATCTGTTATTTTTAAATTATAACTATCTATTAGAGAATTAATGTTAAACTTTATAGTTTTATTTCACTCATCATATTAAAATTCTAATCCTGAGATCGGTTGTAATTTGATGATATACTATTTTTGTTTCTGCTCTTAAATTTAATTTTCTTTTATTGAGTAAAATTATAAGTCTTAAAAACGATGTAAAATTAATGAATTAATAGCCATCTATACTCTATTGAAACAAAAAGTTAAATAAAAATATTATTTGAACATAAAGAAATTCAAATTAACTATGTAACTTTAAAATTTATTAATTAAAATATCTAATGAAAATCCTCTTATAAGCAGTGTTCATAGATAAATATCTTATTTTTAAATACTATTAGAGAATTTTTAGTTGAGATGAATCATTAGAAAGTAAATGATAAAGAATATTTATGATAAGTAATCAAAGGTTATTCTTAAAAAGAGTAGATTATTTATGTAATTTATAATGCAGTAGTATTAATCACTTTTTCAATAATTCTCCTTGATCTTTATTTGAATTACAATTTTACTTTATTAATTATAATTAAAAATAATTTAGTAATTGTAAATTAGTATACTAAAATTAATAATTATAATACTACATTTTTAATTTCCTTTATCACATTAAATGGTTAGAAGACTATTCAAATTTAATTTAAATAAAATATATTTTTTAACATTCAATTTGTTTGCATTTGAAAACATTCATGCAATTCAAAGTTCTCACTAATTCTAAATAATCGACCTTAATTTATAGAGGATATAATTGTATGAGATAGGAGATTTCTTAAAAGGATAATTCAAATTACTTTTAATTAGTCAATAAAGCTTTTGATATTGAAAATAAATAAAGCATAAACTATAAATTTTTTTTAAATATCAAATTTTAATCAAGCCTGCATAATTAAATATGCATAAAACTAATAAAGTAATTGATGTAATTGTTGATGCTTTAATTAAATTGTTACCTAACTAGGGATAAATAAATCATAACTCTTGAAATATTGGTTTACTAAATAGTGATCTAATTTATTAATCATAAAATAGGAAATATAGCTACCTTACTCAGGAATTTTGATTGATATCAAACTCTGTTTAGCCTAATTTTTGAAGAGTCTTAAAAGAAAGTAAACTAGAGATTGTGCTAAGTAATATTTATGGTTTCTGATTCCAACCATAATTTTAGCTCTAATTTTTTAAATATTAAAATTATCATGGCTTCCTACAAAATTATATACCCATTTACTCTCATTCACTTTATAATTTTACTTCTATATTGGATATTTATTTGGCTATTATAAAAAATTTGAATGAGGAATACCAGGAGCAGGATTTGACATCATATTAACTCAAATATTCAACATGTTAGGAATATCCTGTAAAAATTATAGCATCTATTTTTTAGTATTAATTTAATTGACAGAATACAAAAAAACTATTTTTTTAAGGAATCAAAATATTACTTGATTTCCCAAAAATCAAGAAATTAGGTTTACGATATTGCAAGACTACAATTCCAATATTAGTCTTCATATATTATGCAAATTTAATATTAGTGTATTTATAATTTATAACCTTAAGTTTGATAACTCCATCAGTAAAGTCTCATTCAGCACTTTAACCAGTCTCTGGTACATTGTTTAGTAATATTCTTTAAAGATTGCCAAAAAGTTTATGTGAGGGCTTGAATGGGATTTGGAGATATTAAAAGAGCCAAATAATATGTTGCTGTTGGAATCTTGATTTCAGTATTAATATGTGCTTTATGTGCATCATTATTCTGGGTATTTTAAGATGGATTTATTGATTATTTACAGCAGAAAGAGGAAAGGATTAATATTGAAACCATACCTTGGATGATTGCTGTTTTTTAATTGTAGATGGATTATAAGGAACTTTAAGTGGAGCATTAAACGAAATGTTAAGTAGATTTAGTTTAGGTATGAGATTATAACTATTTTAGTATTAAAACATATTTGCATATTTAGTTTGTTGTGTTCCTATTGAATTCTTTTCAAGCGTACGATTGGGGATTTGGAAATGATACTAAAAGAATTTGGAAAGGATTTGGTCTATCAAACTTAATATTGACATTACTTTTTATATTGAGTCTAATTTTACTGATTAGAACAGAGGAGTTTGTTATGTTTAGTTCGGTACATTACAATTCATTACAAATATTATTTAGCTCCACTTTATCATGTCCCTTGATCAAACATAATTCTTATTTCATGATAGAATTTGAGAATAAATAAATTAATTAATTTAGATCATTTTATTGAACATATTTAAATTGTAAAATTCTCCCTCCTTTTTATATTTACTACCCAATAATATAATCAACCACTTCATCAATTAATTTCAATAAGTCCAATAACCATTGTTGTAGTATTAAAGAGCTGAATTGATAACAAAATTAAATCAATTCAAGTTAAACCCTTTATTTATAAGTTTCCTCTAAAAATAAAAATATTAAAATTTTCTAAAAACCTTATGATTAAAATGAAGAGGATTAAATTATGATTATAAGCCTGGAGAATAAGAACCAAGTTCAAGAAAAAAAA